CCCTGCTGCCCCCCCCAGCCGACCTCGCTGCCTCTTCTTCATCTGCTGCACCTTGGTTTGTCTTGCTTTCACATCGACTGGGTGAGCTGAGCTCCTCAGGTGGCACTGCCTGCATCAGGAAAACAAAAGCAACTGTTAGAGAAATTTCCTTTCCCAACTAAAAGAAGTTTGAGTCCCATTGTAGGAAATGAAGACAGGCACGAAATTAAGGAGTTCTTTTTCACCCAACAAAGGTGTGTTGCAGTGGTGAGAAGACATTCATAACTCCCTCAAAGTATAATTGCATTCATTAGCAATTTAAGTGACCAGAAAAATTTCAATATGTACTTGTTTTTCTAAGGCTTAATAAGCTAGCAAATTCAATAAGACTACCACACCTACCTTACAACACTAAAAATATAATCCCCACACACATTTAGAGAGAGAAACCATCCATCCAATCTTCCCCTCACAGGGCTCACGCCAAGCCCCAAGACACATGAGAAGTTTTCATCCCAAAAAACAAGCACATCCATCAAGTGTCACTTAGTCCTCAAACAGCAGGCAAAGAAGAGGAAAACATAGATATTTTTTCTATGCTTGCTACTGTTGGAAGGCTGCATGACACTGGACTGTCTTGTCTGTCCCCTAGCAGGTAAAGCTAAGAGTTATATCAAGTGCACAGCGAAGTATTTTTCCTGAGCCGAAGAAAACAAGATTCAGAAGTACGTAAAGCCAGAACTGCCTGCCTATGCTATCATGACAGCACGATGAAAACTTGAATTTGGAAGTGACCAGAGTCTTTGTGACTGGAACCTGCTGTAGGAGGGAACCCCTGAGCTGAGTGTGGGAGACACAGCAGCCCAAACCCCATGCCGGTGCTTGCTCCCGGCTGTGTGGGGACCCCCAGCCATGCAAGGACCTCCAGTCATGCCTCCCCTGCCCTGGTCGAGGGTCTTCGCAGGGCAGGCAGGTGCTTGCATCACCATGCTACCAGAAACCACTGGGATGCCCAGCCCCAAGCTGGCACCTTCTTAAAAACAAAGGTTCTCTCTGCAAGGGCCAGCGGGATCCTCACAAACCTGCCACCGCCTGGAGAGGGGAGAGCTCTCCCTCCCCGAAACGAGGTAAAACGTACAGCAGTGCTTGAGGGACAGAAGTAGCCGCGGGCCCTCCTTTGTCTC